ATTTCTAAGTTTTCATTTCAGCGGTGTTTGTCCATCAAAGGTCTGACCAACCAGATCCAACTCTGAGGTGGTGCTGTTCACCCACCTGTCAAAAGGCAACTTAACTCTTGACTGCTAACCTCTTAGTCGTTCTAACTCTAGTGATGATACTGAAGACTCTGAAGTGAAAGAGACTGCAACAAAAACATAATAGGACGTACTGGTATAAGAGAAACATCAAAACTTTTAGGAAAAAAAAAAGGAGGGGTTATGTAGGAGGTGGTATCAGATTTTTATTTTCCTTTCATGTCAACCGAAATCAGCCTGTGAGAGTTTCTGGGGCATCCCAAATGAAACGATCTTCCTTTTTAGGAGTTACTCATGCATCGAGCATGGATTCTCTAGAAGACACACCCAAGGCAGATCCAGGCCACAGACAGGTTTTTGACCTATGGTGTTAGTACTTAAAATGTTATTTTTTTATAAGTTACCAAAAGTTAAAAATAGGAAGAGTTTGTGGTAGATTGTTGTATTAACGACCCCTACTGTTTACCCAGGCATTTGGGTAACTCCACACTGACTCAGGGCTTGGCCACATGGCTTGCTTTGGCCAATGTGACAATAACAAACATGACCTAGGCAGACTTCAAAAGCACTGGGGTTTGCCCTCCTGCTCTCTTAATTATAAGACGGTCCACCTAGGGCTAATGTGCTGGATGATGAGACACACATATCTCACTCTTTCTCTCTCTCTCTGTCTCTGTCTCTGTCTGTCTGTCTGTCTCTCTCTCTCTCACACACACACACACACACACACACACACACACACACACACACACACCACACCACCCTCTCCACCTCAGCCCCACCCCACTCCCACAGCCAGCCCCGAGAAGAAGAGCTGCCTAGATCAGGGGTCCGCAACCCCTGGGCCATGGACCAGTACCAGTCCATGGTCTATTAGGAACCAGGCCACACAGCAGGAAGTGAGCGGCAGGCGAATGAGCAAAGCTTCATCTGTATTTGCAGCCGCTCCCCAGCGCTAGCATCAGGGCCTCAGCTCCACCTCAGATCATCAGGCATTAGATTCTCACAGGAGCAACAGACCCTGGTGCCAAAAGGGTTGGGGACTGCTGGCCTAGATGACCAGCAGCTAACCTCACACATATGAGAGAGCCCACCTATGCCCAGGCCAAACTGCCACCCTGTAACATGGTGAGCTAAACAGTATAGTTTTAAGCCAAAGGTTTGGGTGATTTTTATGCAACAAAAACCAGACAATCCACATGAAAATACATATTCCCAAGTAAAAAACGAAAATCTCAAGACTCTGCAACACTGTGATCACATTCCTACATGGCAATAACCAGTTGCCCTGGGCAGTGGCTACCACTTTTAGTGCAACCATAGCATGAATTTCTCAGTTAGTCACCATCACCTTACCTTGGGGTCAAGTTCAGTTGCCATATGTTATCTCAGCTGGGTGTTATACTTATAGCAAAGAACATGAAATACTGTATTCCACATACTTGAGTTACTATCAAAAGTTAAGAAAACTAGTACATTCCCTTTGGAAAATTGTCAATATCTACTAAGCCTGAACATATGCATACTTCATGACCTAGCAATTCCACAACTAGGCGGATACCCAAGAAAAATGAAGTACACATTCCAAAAGATGTACAAAATGTTCACAGCGGCACTATTCCTAATAGTCCCAAACTAGCTATTAACAAACTAGTTATCAATCATGTCCACCAACAGTAAAATAAATAAAACGTGGCATATGCACAGGGATAAATCTCATACATAATGCTATGCACAAGAACTCAGACACAAAAGAGTACATGCTGTATGATTCTACTTATATAGTTCAAAAACAGACAAAACGAAAATAAGGTGTTAGAAGTCAGGTGAGTGGTTACCCTTGGGTAGAGAGAACATGTGAGGGTTCTTATAAGCTATTAATTCTGTTCTGTAATCTGGGTGCTTTTACATGGATTTGTACACTTTTGAAAATTCATCAAGCTGTACATTTATGAGTCATATGCTTCAATACAAAGTTTGATTAAAAAAAAAACTTTAAAAAGTAGAAAAACAAAACCAAGAGGAGGGCCATGTTTCAAGAGAAACAGTTAAGTATTTTTCTTTAGGGGTATCCTAAAGACAAATTCTATACTATAATATTTAATGTGATGAAAAGAATGATGCCATTATGAAATAAATCATTAAAAAATGGCTAGAATCTGGAAAAAATGCATAACAAAACACCTGATGAATTAGGAAAAAGACCTAGCCTGGTTCACTCATTTGTATTACCAGCCTGATCTCTGTGGGCTTTGAGGCTTACAATCAATGAATTATGAATCCAAGCCTTTTCTATAAAGGTTATCATCATTTTTCAAACTTAAGATATGAGGTTTACTGCCCCTTAAAAAAATCAATTACCTTCCTAAAGCTCACCTGCCAGATGAGGCTAATAATGGTCACTGGAGAGGGTTGTTGAGAGAATTGAAGATTATGTCTCTAAACTTCTGAGGCAGTACCAAGGAGACAGCATGTAAGCATACAAGGAATTATTTACAGCAGTGTTACTGATGATTGCAAAATAAAATCAGATGTGATAGATGTGCCCCAAAGGTTGGCTGCTGCTCATAGTGGTACCGAACCTAGCAGTACGTAACGTGGTGATCCTGAAGGGGGCGGAGATCCAAAAGCACACGTTAGGGCAGGCTTTCGCTAACTACATAGAAAGTTAGATTCTGATATGCCCCTTGCGCCCTCCAATAGGCAGCCCCTTCCCATTTTTTGGAATAGTTCATGTAGAGTTCTACTATTTTTGATATCAATGCCTACCCCTCAGGAGTGTTAGGGCTGGAAAGTCTTGGGAATCAGAATCTCAAACCGAGCTGTACAGCAGAGAACAACAACATCTCAAACCTGCCTGATCATCCCAACCACCAGACTTCTGGGTCCCACCTCTGGAGACTGGGGCACCAGGTCTGGGGAGGGGCCAGAACCTATATTTTAATTAGGCCTAAGGTGATTCTGCTGCCAAGTTAAGTTTGGGAAATTCCTACCTAGTGAAATGTAGAGCCCAACAGACCAGGATCCAAATTCAGTCCCTAGAGTTTATCAACTGGGTAGCCTAGCCAAATTACAGAAAATCTTTTGAGTACTCTTCATTTGTAAAAGAATAGCAATGCCCACCTCCCAAGATTGGTGTGAAGCACAGTCTCTCCTTTCAGTGGGGGAGGATTTCAGCTGTGAGGCTCCAAACTTACCTTTGTCCTAATCTTTCCTGTTTGTCTCTACTCCCATGGGCTAGTATAGCTTCAGCCTACAAATCTACTTCCTTGGGAATAACTTCTACAGAGATCTGGACTGACCTGAGCATCTTATCAGATGCTACCTTCCCAAGGCCCCAAGGCACTGAAAGATTTTATTTTTACATGTGTCAGACTTGCTGAGTGTTGACCGACTTTTTACAGAAGCAGGTGTGATGCCAGCATAAATTTTCATATGTATAAGAATTGTCGCATTAGAGAGTGTTTATAACTTGCACCGAAAAAGGTTATTTACAAACTTAAGAGATAAGGCAGAGCACAGGACCAGACGCTTAGTGAAAATTCTTAACGTTATTTGATATAACCACATATTACATAAACTATTAAGCCATCATTCATCAAAATAACTTGCCAGTAACAGAATTACTCCCGACTGGGAAGCTGTAGAAGCCTAACTTAAATTGAACCATTAAAACTGGCTGTCTTGTCTTCTTAACCCTAGATATGTTTCAATTGATTTCCACTGTCCCACCTTTGTGAAGGGTTTTTGTTTCTTTGTTTTGGGCCTGAGGGTCTCTATCTTCCTCTAGATTTTCGAAGGGATCCACACCTCACAAAGTAAGAACCTCTATACTTAAAACAGTGTCCAAAGGATTCTTCTTTTTTTTCCCTTTCATTATTTTTGAAGTAATACATGCACAGTTAGACAAACCTGAATACTGCAAATAGTATATAGAGAAAATTTTAAATTCCTTTCCATCCACGTACTGGGTCCTCCTCCCCAAAAACAACCCTGTTAAAAGTTTGGGAATCCTTCCGGAGCAAGCTTTCTCGGTCTTAAGCAATACTGGCATTCTGGGCCAAATAATTTTGTGTGGGGGCTGTCCAGTGCGTTGTAGGATGTTCATGAGCATCCCTGGCCTCTGCCCGCAACAACGCGCCACTAACCCCCGGTCGTGGCATCCAAAAATATCTGCAAACACTGCCAAATGGGAGGACAAAATCGCCCCAACTTAGGAACTACTTCTGAACATACGCTGTGCATGCACAACCAGAGGTGTGTGTACCTCTACTTTTTCTCTCCATAGTGGAGGCACAGAGTTACTTTGCAACTCACTGGGGGATTCGTACCAGGGAGGGGTTAGGGCTGGCCCGGGCCTCAGCAGGAGGCGACGGTCACTCACCAGGTCACGGATGAGTTGGTCCACCAGCTGCTCCCCGCCCCCAGCGCCCTCACGGGCCGGAGGGGACCGGGAACGGCTCGCAGCCTCCTGCCTCTCGGCCCGGGTGGTCCGCGCCGCCGCCGGAGGCCGCCCTGCGCCCTCCAGAAGGCTCTGGGCCAGCGCCAGGTACCCCGCGGCCTGCTCCCCGCGCCCCGGCCCCCTCGG